TAAAAAACTAAATGATGACCGATATATATATATATATATATATATATATATATATATATATATATATATATATCATTATTTATCAGTGTTATCGACTAAGGACACAGTAGAAGCCGATGGTCAAAATTAACATGGAGATAACACACAGTAAATCAGTGTCATAACAGAAACAATATTTTTTTTAAAAATAGCGCGAAGGAAATGCGTACCAATACATAATGCACGCATACAGAGAGAGAGGAAAATGTACACGATTAACTCGGAAGTCTATGGTAGATCAAAATTTGACACATGTTACCATATACATATATCAAACTGTGAACTTAAGGTCACATGTGAAATTATATTTCATATTTTTGGAATGAATCAACAAATAATCATCTTTATTACTCTAAGTGAAACTAACATCTATCATATAGTATACATCGTAGACTGATCTTTGTTAAATAATCACAGAAAATCGGGAAGCCCTGGATAGTTGTTTTTCTCATATTGTATCACTAGTAATATATATATTTATCGCATTTATCGATAGTCCATGTGATGGTCCACGATCCTATCTCATATAGAGGTCTTAGGTACAAGTCGCCAATGGATTTCCAAACTGCAAGAAACGAAATATCACTTTGAATGAATACCATATTATTGATTTCGTTAACAACAAATTGACCACATTTTTGGATAGTAGCTAGTACTAGAATATATAATGTTTACTTAGACCAATCCAAATCATATCATTTGCATACAACCTACATCGACATGCGTGATCACTGGGACTCGATCCAATGTATCAACCACTTCAAATATCTAATTATTATTCACTAAGCTAAAACAAAAACTGAAATCAATGACTTGTTAAACAAGGTATAATTCACATCGTTAATTGTATTGGTATATACTTTCCCAACACAAAATGCCCAATTCTTGAATGTGAATATTACTACACTAGAATTTCAGTACATCAGGGTGACATGTCTTAAATCCCATTACCAATCATTATATTCAAAATGTAAACCATTTTAATGTAAAATTCTAGTAAATTATTTTCATTAATAAGTAACTCATTTTAAATAATTCAACATTTATCTAACCGAAATGAATGAAAAGTTACTTCTTTTGTTCTGTTTTTTTAATCAGAAGTCATTTGTTCATACTAAGAACAATGAACGAATTACGCATACATACCACACATATTGTATACATGATTAATTAAATCACAAATTTATGTTCGTAAAAAATAACTACCGATATAATTATCATTTCATAATGTGTCTTGTGGTCGTAAATTGTTTTTTAAGAAATATTTACTAAGCATTTTCGGCAAGACTATACTTTATAGACGAACCAATCAGGTATAATATAACTGGTCTCGGATTTTAGCGCGAAATTCACTTATCCATTTGGCTGAATAAAGTTTTGGCATTATGGCTTATGTCAGTTTGTGATGAAAATCCGAAATCTAATTCCTAACCTTAACAATCAATTGAGAATCCGAATTCTAATTCCCTACACTGGTTTATAAGCCTCATTTGATCCTAATTATTAGGTGGACACTCAAAGGTCATTCTAACGTCGCTCAAAGGTCGTTCATAAATTATAGTCTCACCGCATTTTCATTGCCAAATAACTACTAATTGGATACAAATTAACCAACTGATCAATTGATTAAAAATCTTTAAACATGTATCAGTAATTTTTTAATAAAAGGTAAACTTTATTATAATTAATAAAAGAATTATTGAAAAGGCAAAAATATGTTACAGGAACGATCAGCAAACCACTATCGAAATTTTGCATGAAACTTAAAATGAATAGCTTTTACATTTCAGTGTGAGGTATCTAATGCTCAATAACAGTGTAATATCTAGCATTTTCGAGTATATAACTATTCATTTAAATGATGAGTGCTGAGTAATAAGGATATGATTTTCATTAGGGGTTTCATTACAGGTATCTAAAGGTGTCTACAAATTATTTTATCAACACAACAACGTAGCGCATTCCAATTGGCCGAATGGGAAAAACAGTAAAATGAAAACTGGAATTTGGAATGAAATCCTCAGTGAAAATCTTGCTTGCATATGCAGCAATCGCCATCTAAATGGAAGGAAAAATGACCAAGAATGCTTGATAACTCAAGCATAGTAAAAATATTTAAAAAAAAAGATCAACAAACAGACAGGGAACAACTCTCTATAATTTACCACTTAACAATGAGTGGTAGAAACCCGTGTGCGCAGTGTTCAGAATGTTCGAAATTGGAAGGATACATTTATTCGGTTACTACATAATGAAAATCACCATATTAAACACTTCAAGTGTTCACCTTTCATGTACAGATTCTAGATAACAATCAGTCTCCCTGATAAATTAAGAGACCAATATCTGGAATATGTTGAGATGGTGGTTAACTCAAGAAAAGAAAAGAAAAGGATGAAACTTAAGAAAAATCTTGACAAACAGATTCCAGAAATGAAATTTCCGTCCGATCCAGTTCAGTATGTACACAATTTTTCTAGTGTTATGCTGGATAAAACTGAGTTAGAAGCGTTATCATTAGGCCCTAAGTTTTGTGACTTTAAGAAAACAGTCAATAAAATGGACGTTGAAATTCAATTTGAAAATCTTTATGCTCAAACGGCAGAACTAGTAACTTCATCAAAAGATAATGTCGAAAGATTTAAATCAACACCAGTCGACTGTTACTTTAAATACTTAAATCATGGACATAATATGAAAGGGATTTTGACGAAAAAACATTTAGAAGCTCTAAAAAAAACTTAAAACTAATGACAATTTATTAATCACGAAACCGGACAAAGGACATGGGATAGTACTCATGGATAAAAATAACTATATAAACAAAATGAAAGCCCTTTTAAATGATAAAAGCAAATTTCAGAAACTGGTTACGAAGAACGACATAGTAGACAAGATTGAAAAGCAACTAACAGATTCACTGAAAGAAATTAAACAACAGGGATTTATTTCAGAAAAAGAGTTCGAAATGTTGAAACCTACAGGAACGATTACACCAAGCTATATGGCCTGCAAAAAATACACAAAAATGGCTTGCCCCTTCGACCAGTTTTAGATATGAATAACTCAGCGTATCATACTATATCAAAATGGTTGGTGCAAATTCTCAAACCATTACACAAAGAAATTGTCAAGCATCGTGTCAAGGATACTTTTGAATTAGTGGAGAATATAAAAAATCTATCGGTTAAGAATAATTTCATGATATCACTTAATGTATCATCCCTATTCACTAACATTCCACTACTTGAAACGGTAGACTTTATTTGCAAAGAACTAACAGTGAGGCACATTGAAACCGCGATTCCCACATCCGCATTAAAACAGTTAATTCTTAAATGCACGATGAATGTACAATTCAAATTCGACAACGAATATTATAGACAACTAGATGGAGTTGCCATGGGGTCACCGTTGAGCTCTCTACTGGCGGACATTTTCCTTGCAAAACTGGAAAATGGACGACTTAAAAACACTATTAGCCATTTACCAACTTATTATCGCTACATAGATGATACTTTCATAGTGTTAGAAAAAGAGCATGATAAAGACAATTTACTTAATACATTTAATAACGTTCATCCATCTATTAATTTTACATCAGAAGATGAACAGAACAATAGCATATCGTTTTTAGATGTCCAACTAACTAGACGAGCAGATGGAACTTTAAAAAGAGGGTTACACAGAAATTCGGCAACAGGACAATACACCCATTTCTACAGTGCAGTTTCAGTCAGATACAAAAGGAACTTGATAAAGATCTTGACCTATCGTGCCAGAAGGATTTGCTCGGAAGACACCATTGAAGAAGAATTGGCTAAAATTTGCAACACACTTAGTACGAATGGGTATCCTTTGAAACTCATTGGCAAACACATGATGGAGATGAAACCAAAGGCGAAGATGCCCACGGTCCCTAAGAAAGTACTATTCATAAAATTACAATACATAAATGATACCACTGAAGAGATCGTGACTCAGAAACTAAGAAGAGCTGTACAAAAACATTTAATACAGCCAAACTGAATGCTATCTTCTACAACTACCCTTAAATAAGAACGACCAATAAAGACAGACTGCCTGAATTCGCCAAATCTATGTGTATCTATCGGTTCAACTGCTCCTGTGGAGCCAGTTATTTAGGGCGTACAATTCGGCAAGTTTGTCACCGTATTACAGAACATCATCCGTCGTGGTTAAATAAAGGACAGGTAAAAGGGATTAAAAGTTCTATTCTTGCTCATTTGGTTGACACAGGTCACCAAGTCGAAGTGAATAAAGCTTTTAAGGTTATCTACCATATCCCATCACATTTACCACATGGTTTACGAGTGCGCCTTTTGCACATTGAGGAAGCCATCGCAATCCATGTTCACAAACCTGACCTTTGCATTCAAAAGAAATTTGTTCAACCACTTTCGTTGCCTTGGCCAATGGTATAACATTCCCTTCAACAGAACTATTTTCCATACTTCTCACATTTGGGTTTTTTAATTTTTAATTTTGCTTCTGTTTGTTTTTTAAACTTTATAATTTCTCAACATTCATCTCTTGATTCTTACGTAACTACTATTCTATTGACCATCCATTAAAAATTCTGTCCCTTCTCTTTTCATATATTATGCAACAAAGCAACTTCTTGATTTAATAATTACTTTGAATAATAATAATCATCTTTCTTCCAAACTACTCGATGTTAATTTAAATGTCATTATGTAATTATTACGTAACGTATCCACTCAATGAGTATTATATCACTTGGAAATCATATATATATATATATATATATATATATATATATATATATATATATATATACTAAAAAAATACAATGTTTCTTACTTACTCTACCCAAAGTCAAACTAAAACATACACATGAGAAACAGATAATAAGTCATAACTATAGTATAATACTAACAAAGTGGTTAAACACATGCACACATTAAAAAAATACTTACATGGTAATCCATAAACATGTAACTTATAAAGACCTTTCACATTCACCGTAACATAATCAAAAGTATAACTTTCTAAATCTGTAGTTGGACAATTATATTCTTTAAAATTGGCACCATCATTATCAGAACTAGCTGTCAATGTACAATCACTTTGAAGATTAATTATTTTCGTCAATGATTCCATACCACTGAAATGTAATGCTGTAAAACAAAAAAAATAAAAACAAGCGAGAAAAAATGGTATAGAAATACAATTTTTGATGCGAACAATGTAAAATAAAGTAAGCTAACCGATGAGAACTGAGTGTATTCTCACTGTAGAAACAAACAACATTTTTTCCATTAGTTCATGACCATTAAATTTTAAAGATTCACACGATTACTGTTGTGAAGAATAAGATTGATTAACACCGCACTAACAATTTATCGATAGGATTGTTTTGTGCAAAAAACCAACCAAACAAACAAGCAAAACAACATGGTAAATGTTTAATAAACAATAATCAAAGGAGACCATAGTAAAACCGGAAAAAACATGGAATTATATAACAACTGGTTTCACAGGCTAGACAAATAAAAAACAATAAACGCACGATAGTCAATGATCAGACTTAATAATACAAGAAGCCAACCAAGTTTATAATTTTGTCTAGTCTTTTTAAGCGAACTACATTGTAGTAAGTATAATTCAACAGAAACTAACTAACCGGAGTGTGTGTAGGTTAGAAATAATAAACAAAATAGTTAAGTTCACCAGCGTTGTTGGTTTTAACATGAAAAATGATCTGAATAGTATTAGAATGGATGAGTGGCTATTTTACAGTCATAAATATACAAAATAATAATGAAGAATTGTGTCAACAAGTAAAAGTGTATTTAGACCTCTTATTAGTTGGCATCTATTAATATATATATATATATATATATATATATATATATATATATATATATATATTCCAAGTTAAACTCCATTACCTGTTAAAATGTTCTACTTTTCCCAACTTTACAATTTGGATAAATTAAACGATGTGACACAAATAATATTGTATGACAGTAAATTAGCCTACTGACATGACATATACATTTTTTTATTTTAATGAAATACATGAATACAATTTTGTGATAACAGATTAAAAGTACATTGTTTCAAAGAAGAGAACAACTCCCTCTTACATAATTTAATAGTAGTAGCCTTAGTCCTGGTTAAATTTTTGAACAACAAAAAAGGAACACACCATAAATTCAAGTATCTATTTTTATGTGAACATAATATTTATGGTTGAGTTTGTTTGTTCATTTATTTGACAAAAACAAAAATGTCAACTTTCTACTTTTAAGACCAAAACAAAAATTTATTCATAGAAGAAGAGAAAAGAAACACGTATGATAATAACAGGATGTTGTTTCTTTTTTCTTCCTTGTTTGTCAATTGTCATTGATGTTAACCAGCAACAGTTTAACTTAATTAAAAGTGAATAATTTTTTTATATACATGCTGGAAACTTCACACTACTGTTATTAGTGCGCTAGAATTAGGTAAAAGTTATTAAATCGATCGTCATCAATACAACTGTGATAATATTATGTATTTGTGATCATAGTGATAATATAGGGGCAAATCTACAAAGATAAATATATACAAATGGAGAATGATTAATTGAGATTTTTAACAAGAATAATTGAAAAAAATCCGGTTACAAATGAAATATTGCACGTTGAATAAGCTAATGACTATTTGGATTCAATATCACAATGGATAACGTGTTAAATGTGTTAATGCTAAACGGACGGGATTCGAGTATCGATGTGAACATCAATGTTGGGCATATAATTACATGTAACTGAGAAAAAAAAGAAGAGTGAAACACGCATCCTGAATTACACTGATAGCCATAATCCAACTTTATTAAGACTATGAATTCTAGTTTATTATTTTAATATTGTTTCAAAGTTGAAATATCTATTCATGTTTATCAGTGATTTTACGAATTTTTTTTTAATAGTATTAAGCTTTTTCTTCAATCAGATATTTGAACTTTCAATAATTTCTTGGAAAACAAAGACAATATTAATTTACTAAGACAAATGGAAATTTATGGATTTTCTTATAGCTGATACAATAGTTTTTTTCATATGAGTTTGATTACATTAAACTTAAGAGATTTTGTAAAATTAATATCATTAGAAATCTTGTAGATGTTTTCACTCAATTGTTGTCCTTACGAGTTACATAATTCTCTCATTCATTCTAGTTTTCTACTCATAATTTCCATGTTTAAGGTATTTTACTTACGTTTATACTACTATTACTTCGGATAATTTGTTATTCATCCTGATTCGTGTGATTAAATGGGTCGAGACTCATGTTGATTAGAGTTGACAATATTGTTTATTCGTATATTATTTGTAGGTATGTTGTTTAAATGATGATCTAAGCTGAAGTATGTTTGTAAAAGTGACAAAGGAATTGCAATAGTTAGTGTTAGAAACATGTAACATTCAAGATGATGCATATTGAAGGTCAATTACTTTCTTCGTTGATAAAAATAGTATAGTTGAGTTAGACAAACGTTTCCATGTAAAACACAGATATATCTATTGTAATATGTATAAGGTATTATGCTGAATTTATGCCTTATCAACTGATAAGAATTTGGCACAAATCTCTTCTTGAGTATACTTCTTTAAAATTGAGCTTATATTAAACTGAATATATCGACATCTTGTTATTAGTTCAATCTGTCTTACAATACGCGTAGTAAACTTCTTAATATCAGTAGTTTAACTTAATAAACTAACTGAAACTAGATGAACCACTAAGAATCAATAAACACTGGACAGCTCTTTTATTGTGTACATCCATCATACTGTCAGGGAGCGAAATGTGAATCAATTGGATCTCATGGTGACGTTTTACGACCAAACCTTAGAGGTTCATGAAGTAACACTATCGATGAGATTTGTATGAGGACAAAATAGTGGTAGAGTCCCCTCCCTTCTTTATATCCAGCTAAAATCAATCCACTATGTCATCTATAGTTTAAAAGCTCATATTTTTCATTATTTTTTACAAATTAATGAAGTAGTTCTTTTGATTTTTTTTCCTCACCTCTTCGTCTTTACATTCCGTAATATAATTTACATGTGAAAAAAAAAAATAAACCTTGAAGTTGGTTAGTTCACTTGTTCGGCTGAGGTCAACACTTTGATTTTACAATAATAGAATGTTTTAAAAGACAAATTTGTAAAAGTATATTTCACATACACTAATAAAACAATCGATACAAATCTGAGTAGTATTGTGAATATGATATATATATATATATATATATATATAGTGCTAATCGTTGAATTATTTCCAATCTCAGATCAAACTGAAGGGTGTGACAAGTAAAAGTCTTACAAAATAAATAAATAAACAAACAGGTGTATTTAATAAATGAATAATACGAAATTTGTGTACACATTCTTAAACCACGCCTTTCGAAGACCATTTATATGAGATAATATTATGGTTGAAACATTTGAAATAACAAAACAAAAGATTTACAAAGTCTATGGAAGATCATAATATAAGTGATTTAAAGTTTACACTTAAACAAAAGACTACCAGTCAACACATAGAAAATGTGTAGTATATTAACGTTCCACGGACTTTTAATCCAGATACTCATTTGCACATTGCCTAAATGTTTACCCAACCTGGTATGAGAGTGAGAAGACTAAGAATGAAGAGACAGTTATAGTTAGAAAATTGAATAAATTATGTTTAAATCATGGGTATACATATATACAATATGTACTTCCGATCCATTCAAGAAAATGTAAGCTAAGATGTTATGAAAGTGCTAATAGTGTACCTTATCATCTCTCATTGACAGCTTGGTCCTGAGACATCATGTAAATACAGCCACGAAGTGTGTGGTTTCGCTCAGTCTATAATAGGACCTACACAAATATATATAATTCAGCATTACCAAATCACACATTATCAAAGCAAAAAAAGAAAACTGCAGAAGATATAGCCATATTGATTGCATTCAAATAGTATTATATAATATACATATTATTATATAACGTAATAATAATATATAATAATATTATATAATGTAGGATACATAATATTTCTTCCCAATTTTTGTTTTAATTTAGAATGAGTCAAGTGAATTATTGTGGCCAGGGAATACTAGATAGTAAAAGATTATAAAACTTTGGGTCTATGAAAATTAGATAATATGTGAATGTTATCCAATTATTTTAAGACAGCTGTCTTTGAAACATTTCTTGTGAATGATGAGATCAATGAATCTGTAATGCTAAATTGAAATATAAAGTTCAGACTAAACCAAGAACATCAATATTTATATATTTTGTTGTTCTTTCTTTGTTCAAATTTATCAGTCGACCAAGCTGTACTAATTATGACTTGGAATAAAACTCGGGATAGATGGGTGAAGTACATAAGTGATGTTATTCTATGATCATATTCAAGGTTCGTAGATGTAGACTTCTTAGTTAAACGTATAAAATAGTGTATATACACGTATGTTAAAAACAGATCACATAAATAAACTTTCGTTAACTCTTTACCTCCATCTATAAAATCCGATCACAGCGCTAAGAAAAACCAGAAAAACAAGAAATTGCTCACTACTCAGTGATTAATCAATTCTACTCTTTGGTTCCTCCTTAAATTTGAACTTCGTGTAATTCTAAACTAGTTCATCATCCAACTTCATTCATTCTTTAAGAAATTTATTGACGATACTTAGATTTTCAATGCAGCTAATGATATTATATTCCTTTCTATTGTTACGCATTATATCAGTAAGCTAACTGGTGAAATTACAGTCATTAACAGCTCTCTGACGAGAAAATTAGTCTTTTATGTGAATTACATGTTTAATTGATTCTCTGTGATAAGCCACTTTTTCTAAATAACTCCTGAATTAGTAGTCGATAAATGAGAGACTAGTGTAGGATATGGAAGATGGTGACAGCTTTCCATCTACTAACCACTATATCAAATAAATGTATAACTCTGTTGCATTACAGTGATATTCTTTGTTGTCGAATCGCTAAGGCAATAAAGGGATTACTTAATTTGTGGAAATAACACTCAAGTCTTACTAGTAATGGTAATTGCGAATGCTCTTTTACGCACCCAAATTTCGCATGAGTTTCAGTCTTTTCCATTTTCATCCCACCACCATCAATGAGCTATCTTTCTGTACACCTGAAGATCATGCTATCGTCATTATACATACTAAGCCGAAGTACTATTTCAAGTTGTTCTACATAAATATCAAGTTTTTCCTCATACTTCATTTTCTTCTTGTGTTAGCGGTTAGTTTTTTAAATGTTGTGTATCAACTACCGTTATCAACTCAAGAATAGACTATTACGTATTAAGAATAGTTCACTAGTCCCTTATTCGTAAGTATCGTAGGTCAACTGAAAACTGAATATTCTAGTCGTATTTATCGGATATCGAAATAATATGAAACTGAAAATTTTTTCCAGTTCGATAGTTGACTGTGAAAGGAAATAATAATATGAAAAAGAACTTAAGATTAATCTTGTACTGTTTGTCTATTATATACCCAAAAGTTAAAAATCAAATGGAATTGATTTTTCTCCATTCAATGTAGTTACCTACAATGGAACAGTAGCAAACACACTTGGTTCAAGACGATTGTGGCAAAAAAGTTGACACTGGTTACAATCTATTTGAAATAATTCATGGAATAATAGTTCTTGACTTTCTGTTAAGAAATGAACTTAAAATGCACTACGATAAAAGAAAATTCAATGGAAAATTGAAATAAGTTTAAAAAATAACCTAAACAGGTGCAGTTATCGATTATTAATCTGTTTAATTTTCAGGGTGAAGGAAACTGTATCAGAAAGTTTAAATTTCTAGCGATTGCAACAGACTTCATATAGTCGTCTGCAAGTATCAAATGACATAGCTAAGAATATGATTAGAGGTACATATGAAACGCTTTTTCATACCTTGAATACTTTTCAGCCTATATTTATATCAGTTGTAATTGTATGCAATCATTACACATTCACAACACCATACCAGACTATATCCGCTACGTTGATGTAATTGTCAGCCTAGCCTATCGTGATGACATATTCGAACTGTATTGACTGGAACACTTAGTTTTTTGTCCAACTATCCCAGGAGGGTCAGTTGGAGAATAGTAAGTTTTAAAGTATCAAAGAGAGGCTTCTTACTGTCTATTGCAACGAGTTGTGATGAAAATAAAGTGTTTCCCTCAGACAAGCAGCGTCTCTAATGATGCAGCCTTTCCATTACAGAATGAGTGGGTGAGGAAAGGTCAACCTTAAAAATACCCACCATTGCCATACTCTTCAAATATCCACTAACAATCGTAGAGACTTTAAAGCACGAAGCTAATGAACCAACAAATATTTGAAAAACTTTTGTGATCAGCCTCAAACAGTTGTCCCTTGATCTGTGTGAGCAATTTTTCATGTCGTCGAAACCATACCTTATCCGGTTTTCTTTTCAGGACCATCAGAAAGAAATATCCTTGCACTGTGTGAGCAACCGGGAAGTGACAACTATCCATACACTTTTAACAGAACTTAAGATTGCCTTGTTATCATTAAAACCTTGTTAACATTAAATAATGATACTAAAATATTAATATTTGAACGAAGAATATTCTTTTCGATAAATTCTCTTCAGGTTCTACAATTATATATTCAAATTAATAATCCGAAAAATGGCCAGGTTAAGGGTAAAGTATATCGTTTAAAGAATGTGAATTTAGGATTGTGATAAACAAAATACAATAAAATCGTGAATGTTGATATGATACTAAAATATTGTTTTAAATAAAACACATTTCACTTACTATAATCGTGTGGCATATCATCTTGGTTTGATGTTACAAAGTGTACACTTGTTACTGAATATGTTTTTCCAAAGTAAATTGTAACATTACGATCATCAGTAGCTACTAGTGCAGAACTTTCTGTCACATTACTTTCGTCATTCAAATGCCATAATAATCCACTACATGATTCCATAGATTCCGCAGGAACTAGATGATCGACATATGGCTTAAACAATGTAATATCATCTAAACAATTAAAAAAAGGATGAATTGTGTAAGTGAAATGTAATTATCTGTTAAATGCTCCATTTTTATTTACGAACCGAGATATGGACTAAGTATACAACTAGATGAAATAAAGCATAAAAGGTGAACCCACCAAAATTAAAATATTCTAGACTCAATTGCATGAATTCCATAATAAATTTGTGAGGCGGGAATTAAAAAGCTCCTCAACTCACGGTTATTGAAATAACCGCATAGTTTTGAAGGAAATATACACTAATATTCATATCACTTTAGAATTAAGGTAAAAAAGAACACATGTATACAAGCAACTTATCAATCATCATTCATCTATTTACTACATGTATGAGTGAAACTAAGACGTTTTAGGTATGTTGATAAACTAAAACCTGGTTCTACCTACTTTGACCTAGTAAAATAATAATAGTATCAATAAAAATAATTACGTTATTTAACATTAGAAATTATTTTACGGTCATTTAGCCTAACGTCAATACGCGATGTAGAATATCGTTCGAAACATTACGTTGGTCGCTGATTATTGATCAGTCAATTGTAAATATCATAGTCCTACAAGAGGGTAATCGAAACCCAAATAGCTCTTGCTGATAATATCTGAGACTGTAAAGCCGAATACTTTAAATACTTTAAATCCCACAGGAAATGCCACTTATCCCAAGATTTTTAGGTATGTCTAGCAGATAAGTACAAACCAACTAGTCCTAAATCCATCTCTAAGGTTTCGTACCAACTGCGTCCAACCACCAAATAAACTCAATAATCTTTATAAACCTCCAATAGTAATAATCAGTCAATTAACATTAGAAATATATTGAATATATATTTATTTAATTGACAAAATTACAGATAGTTTACAAAAACAATATCTCTGAGGTATATATGTATACATAACAAAAGGAATATAGATGTGTAAATTTACAAAACGATGCTCAATATATTACTATAATCCTTTCATTTCTTTCTAAAAAAAGTCGAATCCTAATGCGAAAATTCATCAATTTAAAGGTGATTTGTTCGAATTATTTTCCTTGAATAAGTGATAATCATTTAATATCAGAAGGAATTTTTGTGGATATTATAATAATTTTAATGGATGAGATCATGAGTTATATCATGAGCTAGACCACCATGGAAAACTTGGAAGTACTGGACGGCCGTTTCGTCCTATTGTGGGACTCCTTAGCAGTGAGTCTTCACGATCGCGTCTAGCGAGATTCCAACCCAGGACCTATCAGTGCGCGCGCGAACGCTTAACCTCTACACCACTGAGCTGGCATCCAACGGTGTTAATGTCTAACTTCAACCAATCCATGAAATTGAGCGACACTTCCTCCATTGTGTGCAGTGAGTTACTATCTCACAACAGACTCGGATGAACTCCATTGGTCACTGCTTCTCACTAATAATCATTTGTCCTGCACTTTGAATTAGTTTCAATTGTAAAATGACAAAATTAAATGATCCTAGAACTGTATAAAATTCTACCCATTCTCAACAGTACAATAGCAACAGAGATAACAATGAAGAGTGAGATAATTATTACTTATGTAATTAAATCTGAGAAATACGTAGTCGGTCAAATGAATATGGAAAATGAGATTATGAAGACTGCATTTTATGAACTTCACAATACATAAATTGCCGAGACTATGATTTGTGAACGATCTTATAGAGATAAAAAAGTGATCTTGAGAAACTTCAACCATTTTATAGAGTAAAAATAGAGTCATACAATAGTGTAAATTAGAATTGGAAGTTAAAGATAGAAGTTAGGATTAACAAATAAAACTAGGATGTTCATCACGAACTGGCATCAACTATAATGTGGATGAATGAATTTCGTGACAAAAATCAAAATTCGCTACCTTATATCGGATTGGTTCGTTCACGAATTATAGTAACACCTATTAATCCTAACCACTTCAAAAACTTTCTATTTGTGACAATACATTCGTCTTATATTCATTTCCACTGTATGATAACATCCTTGGTAGTTCCCAGACTCCTGAATATCTAGTCGTCTTGTCGTTTCACATGTGATTATCTATCCACACATTGTACCAAGGTCAACTACTCATGAACATTTTGCCTTTCGATAACAGATCTAGAGTTTTTAACTAGTGATTTCTGATATCGTAAGGACACAAGTATGTTGAAGATCTACAGTTTATCAGAACTCATAATGTTTTGATTGGATTGATGAAATATCTTGTTTGATCTGGCAGTTAAACTACATTTTCATTCTCCCCAAAACGATTCTACATTCAAGTAGATAAGTATTAGATCAAATTAACTATCCAGTTACTTTCTTCAAGTTTTCAGAGTCGGAAAAATAATCAAAATCTTAATCCCACGTTGCGCCTATTCGTAATATATCCAAAGCTTCACAAATGTAATCTGTCCAGCACTTTTACCCCTTTTTCTATTTATTAAGTAGATGAGTACCGTTAAAGTGTAGTTTCCATCAGAGTTCATTTCAAGCATTAACGTTACCATAGAATGGGCGGAATGTGGCTAGCAGTGGAATGTAGAACATCCTATTTTAGAATTGTTGTTTGCATGCACTTATATCTTGAAATTAATGTCCACACTCTGTGGTTCAAACCTAAATTTCAATTAAGATATCAATAATAGGATAATAATCTAATACACTATCAATAAAGTTAACTTTACGATTTCTGTATTCTTATATCCACTTTGTTGGGCTGTTACACTGATATATTTATTGTAGACAGTTACAGATAACTTTAGACTGTTGAAATGAAATCACTAGTGAAAAACTTCACTCTTACAACATACGGAATTCACTCACTAAGTAAACGATAGAATAACCAGTAGTGCTTGATACATACAACACAGTTACTGGAAAATATTTTATCTCAACAAAATTTATTACGTACAACAAGCTGATTTTACTTTTGTTCAACTATATTTGTCATTTTTTTCCAGCTTATTGATTTGTTTGATAACTGGCACATTTAACAATACAGTTATCACTACTTTGTAATGTGTGAGTGAATGTGACAGTTTTCGAAATTTTTGACAAGTACCAAATTAATTTTGTCTAGAACAAGGTGTACATAGAATGAATTTAGAATGAAGGTCACCTGTTAGATGTACGTATATATAGTACTTGAATATCTATACACATTTATCACTTTCTCAAGAATCTACTTAAGAAAATGACAAGGAAAGTACTAATCATGTGACATTATTGATTAATTTGGAAACGCAGAATTCAGTTAAATAAAGAGAGCATGTAGTAATCAGGATAATAATTGATTATGTATGTTTGCGATTTGTGTGAATAAATACAGACATTTTTTCTCAAGCAATAATTTTACTCCATCCACGCTCCATAATTAAACCACAGAAATTAATCAATACACTTCGCCAGTTGTGTAATCTCTTTATATATGTGTTTATATGATGATCAGACATAAAGAGAGAGATAGAAAGAATCTATAGCATTGTAGTGTATACAAATATCACACTGTCTGTAATGTAAAACTGTATGATAAGGTTAGTGTATATATAACTGTATTTATGTTCAGACTGTAACGTTGAAATGTATGGGGTAAAACTGTTGAAAAGCATATTAACAAATGATCATGACCTTATATTTAATTAATTAAATTTGAATATGTTGTATAGATCACGAACTGTGATCAGGTTAAACATCCACTGAAAACTAGAGAGCCATGAACAGCTGTTTCGGCTCATAATCTAAGTTTATTAAGCAGTGTTCACCTACGTTCCTGTTAGACCTCACTTGACGAATCCGTCACATTTCAACAACTGAATTGACTCACATTTCTAATTTTAGTTAAATTGTGATACTGAGCAACTATCATTCTATTAGCATGGGTGAAATCTGCTTCATAACCGAAACAGATGAATCCCACTCGATTATAACTTCTTGGTAAAATTCTAGGAAATATTTCTGAAGTTAGTCACCTGTGTGCATATGAAAATTATTAACAGAAGACAGGGATAGAATTTGTTCCGACTGATTGACTGCAATAATGAAAGATCATGGTAGTTTCAAATCCACAAAATTAAGGCAATATCGAGACATACACACAGTATGCACATATGCCAATAAGACACTGAACAATTTCAGTCCTAAACATCAATGGGAAGATTCAAATAAAAACAATATCAAGTGAATTAAACTTCACCCCATCGCACAAGCAAGTGGCTATCAGGACTCAGTAGCTAAGTGGATAACGCGATGGCGTTTGAAGCGGACGGTACTGGGTTCGAGTTCCGGAGTGAACATCAACTCTGAGATGCTGGTACATCCAGCTGACAAGTCCCAAAAATAGGACGAAACGCGCGTCCTGGATTCCACTGCTAGCCACTATCCATCTTTGCTTATGAAACTAATAATCTCTTCAACGGATGTTACATTTTTAATCAGCTCATTCTTCTGAAGATTACGCTTAATTCCAAAATTATAGACAGTGTAGAACCTAGTGTAATTGTGCGTATGTTCAAGTTTTCTACAGCTTATCTTACATTTACACGGAGAGAAAGATGTAAGATGGTAGTGGGAGGTAGACATAGGTTTTGTGCTATTCGGCACCCATCAGGATGGTGTACCTCTAGTTTTGACAACCTCATTGGAGGTCGAATATAGAAACTTTTGAACCAGTGTTGAGAGTTTATCGATCACATAACAAACCAGTTGTCCAGTAATTCCTAGTTCTGAATAATTGTTCATTAACTATAAAACCCAACAATTTTCACAAATCCCCCAAACTGGAGAATAAAAAGTATCCAGAAAAATATTACCGAACTCAATAACATTAGGAACATAAAGACTGCACACAAAGGCGACCATTCAGATTATTTTTCAATCTGTGTCTTTATATGAAAGTTTAATACCCAAATTACTGATGACTAAATTGTAAACCATATGCACTAACAGGCTGATTGTATCACTTTCAATAAAAACAAAACCTACATTGACTTCT